CTCCTTGGAGGCAAGGATTCTGGGGCTTCGTATGATGTACTTTGGACATGTAAGGAGAGACAGGTCTTTAGAGAGGGGCATCATGCTGGGTAGCGTGGAGGGATAGCACAGGAGGGGAAGACCTTCTATGAGGGATTGATTCAGTGACTGGGGTACTCAGGATGGGTTTGTCAGAGGCAATGAGATTGGCACAGGATAAAGCACGGTTTAGGGCTGTTGTACATAGGGTCGCTATGAGTCGTAGGTGATTCTGGCACATAACAACAACATGCCCCGGCCCGTGGGGACATTCAACGGTGACCCTAGGAGGGGAAGAAAGAGAAGGGGGCGGGGAAGACACAAAAGCAGACAAGTCGAAATCTCCGATCAAGTCTTCATTTTATTGAAAGCATTCAGTTTATATATAGGAACATAATGGGGGGAGGAGAAGTACGCAGTGGGGGCGACTAACATGTCCTTTCGTAAGCTGAAACTTATCTGGTGAACAGAAACTTAGCAGGGCGGTCCCAGTAAACGGAAACCTATCCTCCCAGGGTGGGGTCAACTGAAACCTATCCTCCCAGGGAGGGGCAACATGTCCAAATATGTTCTTAGAGGATTACAAAGTGGCTTCAGAGAATTACAAAATGGCTTCAGCTAGGTAGAACAAGCGACTCGGCTCTCAGCAACAACATAAAGTCCTTTGTAGATCTGATTAAGATTGATATAAACTCTTTTCAGCAAGAATATCCAGTTACATGGTTTTTAACTTGAAAGAGCCTTAGGACACAATCCTTCAAACAACTCCCTTACACAAGAGTAAAATGAAATTATATGGTCACACAGCTAGTTAGTATGAAAACCAAGTTAAGAACCATACATCAAAACTTAAAATAGATCACATTCCTAAACCCCAGGACTATAACAGACCCAGCTATTCACTCTTAGATAGAAAGCTTCATTTGTAAAATTGTCCGAAACTGCAAACAACCCAAATATCCATCATCAGATGATAGATTAACAAACTGGGTTATTTCTGTTCGGTAGAATACAGAAATAAAGGAATGAATTATGAATATATATAGAGAGATATAAAAATGTCAGTCTAGTTGTGCCTGATCCAGGCTATGGTTTTCACAATTGCCATGTGTCAGAGATGGACAATAAAAAGGATGACAAGAATCAATGCTTTTGAGTTGTGTTTGAGAAGAAGACTGAACATGCCATGGAACAAGAGAACACACAGGTCTGTCCTAGAGAAGGTGAAACCAAGTTGTTATTTGTACCAAAAGATTTTGAAGCTTTGTCTCACATGTGACCAGGAGGCACCCGTCCTTGGAGATGGACATCATGCTTGGGAGAGTTCAAAGACAGTGCAAGAGAGGAAGACTCTGGATGAGATAGTTTGAACTGTGGTAATGGGGGTTAGTGTGTCAGTGAGACTAGTTCAGGATGGGGTTGAGTTTAAGCTATTGTGCATTGTTCCAGTCAACTTGATGGCCCATAATAACCACATATATAAATGTGGCCAAATCTAAAAATCATTGTGCTTAGTGAAAGAAGATAGGGGGAAAGTTCTATTTGTTAAAAATTCTATTAAAAGCAGATTATTTACAGAAAACAATGAATGGTTCCCTGGGTAGATGGAAGGGGTGAAAGTGAAGGGCTGTCAAACTGTATGAGGAAACTCTTAGAGGTGTTGGATAGGTCCATTGCTCATATTCTTGATGCACGCACAGGTCAAGCCACATCGAACGTTATATTCTAAATATCTGTGTTTATAGTATGGCAATTTGTACCTTAATGGAAAGGGTATGGTAAAGAGATGCTCTGCACTGCAGACCCAAAGGCACCAGGCTCAAAACCACCGATCGCTCAGTGAAGAAAGGCAATCTCCAGTGCAATTCACTGTTTCTGAAAACCTACTGTATAACAACTTTCATTAAAAACAAAACAACCCAGTTTTTAGACTTTAGTCCTTAGATACCTTGTTGTCATGTGCCGTCGAATTGGACTCTTCTCAAGGCCAAGCCTACAGCGGGTTTTCAGAGGTAAATGAGACGGTGGGGTGGGAGGCTGCTCATCTTTCACCCGTGGAGCAGTTGGTAGATTCAAACCACTTGCATTTGGGTTGGCAGCGCAACTTCTTAACTAGTCTATTCTTTTCTTCCACTCTAGCTCTATCGAGAGCCGAATATGGCCTAGTGGTACGAAACAGCTCTGCAATTCCAAAAGGCATGCTGTTTGAATGGCTTGGCTGTCTTCTCGGGCGATTTTACTGGCTCTGAAAACCAATTGGTTCTTCTCTGCGACTTCAGACTGTCTTCTCCTATCAGACCATTAGGGGGCGAGGGCATGGGCGGCCTAGGTTGAAGGCGCTCTCTCTCTAGCGGAACTCACACTTGTATCTACTTCCGGCCTCCTCTAGTTCCGCTTCCGGGGGATTTGCTTGCGCATGTGCTGCTTAAGTTCTTAACGGTGATAGCTGGTGATTTTTGGCTGGTGTTAAGTAATTGCCTTTTCCGCAAAGACAAAGTGCATGGGCTCAAGGCTTTCCGGAGAGATTCTTTCGTTTTCTCCAAAACTTTATGGCATCTGCTGCCATGGCGACGACACCTGCGCAGCCCAAAAAAATAGTGGCTCCCACCGTGTCCCAAATTAACGCGGAGTTCGTCACCCAGGTGAATCTGGGGCGAGTATGGTGCTAGCGGTTATTGCGATGGGAAAGTCTGCGGTTAGGGACAAATACTCAAGAGCAAGTGTCTCTGGAGACTAAGGTGCGCCTGATACAGGCCATGGTTTTTGCAATCGCTTGTTATGCATCAGAGAGTTGGACAATGACTAGGGAGGATAGAAGGAGAGTTGACGCTTTTGAGCTGTGGTG